GTGCTTTGCTGACCAACAGATATGGCTGCAAGTATTTAGACACCCCTTTAGACAATTCAGGCTTGAATCGTTTTTGGAAGCATACATAGACATTTTGGACAATAGCGTGCTTCCAACTTTGTGTTGACTGGGGGAAAAAGCCCTTTCCTATTACAGTGTGACAGTGCCATAACACAAAACAAGGTCTAAAAGAAACCATTTTCCTAGATGTATGTGTAAGTGGTTTAAGTTTGGTTTTAATTTCTTATTCAACACTATAAAAATGGGACTAAATGTCAGGATTGGCAGCAGAGACTCACACAGGGTTTACACGGATGTATCTGTGGGATCTTGATACCGTGACTCCACCCTCCGATTTCTACTCTGCAGAGTCTGACACCAAATTAAATCAAAAGCAGAAGATGGCGGCAGTCCTTTATTTTTGAGGAAAGTGGAAACCCATCGTCCACCTTTCTATGCAGTCTTTAATTTCACCTTGTTTCAACAATAAGTGTGCTTTTGAAGCTGACATCATTTTAACCAAGATTTATTTTCCTGACTGTGCAGTCAGTTTGAGAGGGATTGTTTTCAGGGAATCATCTTTAAACACCAGAATTTCACAGAGAAAACACACTCATACATATTCTACCAGCTCTGGGCCTTTGAGATGGAGCCAGAGACGAGGGAAATGTCAAATCTTTCCTCCATGTCGGTATCACTGCCACATACAGCGAGGACTGTTTGCCAACACAAACACCACAGTGGCAGGGGAGACCTGCTTGTCTGACATGGCTGCAGCCGGTTCAGTCAGGAAGAGCTCTGAAACCATTTATTCTTTTATTCATGGTAGCTGCAAGTTTTTTCTCAAAGAGTCTGAGTGTTGATTAGGTGCAGAGGTTTGGAGGTCGATGCAAGTTCACTTTTTATTTATGGTTGGCTTCTCTATAGGAAAACAGGACCATCTCTCCCTCGTTGCTTGCAGCAGGTAAAGTAATTTATCTTGATCCGGCTGAAAGTTTGACGATGGGAGGGGAGGCTCTGCCGGAGTCGTCCTTCACATGCTTTATGGTGTTGATTAGACTTTGCTGCTGCGGCCCCACCCCTTTGATGCATGTTTAATTGTAAAGATGTTTTTTTATGATGACAGAGATTCAGTTTCTCCTGTCGACAAAGCACTTGTTGAGAGATGTGGGTAAGAGACTGAAAGGATGGTGAAAGTGAGTAATGGATGCAGACGTCATCCCTCACCCTGGTGTTTATAGCTATGGATGATATCGCTGTGTCACTCCGCCATGCTGGTCCGGACCATAGATGGATGACATGGCTGCTCACCAAAAGTGAAGCCAAAGCGTCTCGATTTCCACCTGGTGGCTGGCTGCAGTAAAGTTCACAAATCCCACCTTCTCCATGTTAGCAATTGGGACGTGGACCTAAACTAAGTTGTTGCACGTTAATGACATTTTTCTCAAAGATGGTCGTTTAAGGTAGTTCTTATCTGATGTTTGTGTTCATTCTTTTGGTAAATTTGGTTTTAATTAGTACCGTCATGAATGGCCTCTTAGTATCGTAACCATGGCTGCACACTTTCTAATCGAAGCCAAAATGTGTAGTTGGTGACGCCACCGATATAATGATGCTTTGAAGCAGTCTGTGACGCAGCGGCAACAGGAACTAATTAAATCAAAATATCATGAGAACGCGATGATTGATTTCTGGATTGAATCAAGGTTTATTGCAAGTTATCGATCTTCAGATTTACAATCGAATTGTCTGAATCACCTCAGGGATGATAGTCTCTCACACACACAAACACAGATACCTCAGCTGTTGTTGATTTTGGTGCAATCAGCCGAATAGCTGACCTGTGCTACAGCAGCTTTACCTCTTTGCAGCTTCCCTTACTCAAACTCCTCTCATCACTGTCTCCAGGCTCCTGCACTGACTTCAGCACTTCTGATCCTAATACTCCTCACTAAGCACAGAGGAGAGATTTCACCCGAGCTGCCAGCGGGAGGCATAACACTGTCTCCCCAGCCAAACATCAGTTTGTAATCTGCTGCGTTGGCTTGGAAGTGCCTGGTTCAGGGATGAGGAGGAGAGAAATGAGGCAGAGGATTAGAAAGGTTTTCAGTTGAATGTGCCACAGAAGAAATGGATACCACAGGAAGCTTGTGAGCGAGTGTTTCCACACGAGGGATGAAACAGAGAGAGAAAATCCGTGGAGTCTCATGGTCAAACTGCTGAGTCATGTGGTGACGTTTGTCCAAATGTTGTGTGAAACCACACCACAGTCTGTAGCCCGGCTCCTCCGGCACTCTGTACTGCTCCGGAGGTGGAGAGGGAAGAGTTACACTGTTGGCATTGGCAGCCGGCAGTGTTCAAAGTGAGTGACTCATCTGATGCGAGAAGAAAAACCAGCTCAATGAGCAGATAAAGGTCTGTTTAAGCTTCTGCATGTCAGAGTTTGTCATTGTGATTCCAGTTTAGAGCTATAGCTGGATTTTTCTTTCCTAACTGGGCTTAACATCTGTTTGATTTAGCTCCTGTTAAACATTTCACACAGCTCATATTAAAATAGGCTTCCACTTTTACTGCAGCTATAAACATCAAGCCTTTGGACCGGTGACTGTGTAAATTATGAAAAAAACCAGGCACATATTACAAACAGTTTCACCATATTATAAGTGATGCATTATCTGTAAAGAAACAGATCGGACTCTAATCAAAAATTGAATGAAAGTAGAAGTCTCTGTTTTAATTAGTTCTTCAGAAAACTGTTTCCTCTGTATGTATTGTCCTGTAAGCCTGTGCAGTGAATAATCTATTTTTAGCAGTAAAATAATCCTTTTGTCCATATTGATGGGTCAATTCATCATCCTGTGTGTGTGTGTGTGTGTGTGTGTGTGTGTGTGCACTCATTTTTGTTACCTCTCTTCCAGTATACATTGACCTTGTCAGGAGCAGTTCACCTCATCGGAACCAAAGCCTGGTCCTAAAGAGATTGTTGTTAGGTTAAGATTAGGGTTACGCATGAATTGGTCATGGTCAAGGTTGTGGATAATAAATGGAGGTCAATGTAAAGTTCTAATAAGAGTAGCTGCGCAGTGAGGGAAAGTGAAAGAAACGTGTGTGCGTACTTTGTGATCCACCCTCAGGGGGAGACCTGGATGCATATCATCCAAGCCTCGCCTGTCGTCTCCATAGGGAGGCACAGATTTTATGTATCTGTGTATTGACTCTGAGCTTTACAGCTTCAAAACATGAACAGAGAGTGATGCAGTTAGAGCTGCTAAAAGAAAGAGCAGCTAAAAGATTGCTGCTTTGTATTTTTCTATGTCTGTTCCTCAGCGCTGCTCTCTGACAGTGTGATGTACAGCAGTCCAGCACCTCTGCCATTGATCAGCTCACCTCCTACACTGAGACATCCTGCGCTGGCTTCTGTTGCACAATAAGCACCATTTGGTAAACGCTTTACAAAACTGTGATGAAGCTTCTCTGGAGACGATATTACTGGTGTGGTGATAAATCACACCGGGGTTTGGTTCAGTATGTGTGCCAGTTTGGAGGCCTTTGGCTTCCTCTTCATTTTCTCACTCTTTTCACTCTGCTGTTCCCCACAGCTCCGGTGAGAGTTGGACAGCAGAGGGCTGTGATGCAGTTTTTGGCTGCCATTTGCTGCTGCAGTCCCAACGCCGTGTTTACTACAGAGCACGCCCTTCTGTCACAGCTACAGCGCGACTCAAAACGCTGTGGAATCTCGCTATTGACGTCTTTCACTCAGGAGATGTCCTAGTATTGATGCAAAGCTTTGTCAGCGGGCCACCGCTGCCGCTCTATTTTGTCAGACTGTTTATTCAGCGAGCAGTGTACACAAGCCGCACAGCTGGGAGTCGGAAGTGTATTGATCGACCGCTGGGCGAGCGTGTGCTGCTGGAGGACAGATGGTTCAGGCCTGCGTTCTGTGGTCATGGCGGTGTGAATGATAATATCCTCTGCATGAGGGAAGCACACAGAACATGGTCATAACCGCCAATACTCAACAAGCTGTTCAAACAGTTCAAGCTCTTACTCTTGTGTTGTAGATGGAGTCTCTGCATTCTCACAACAGAGCTATTGTGTCGTCTACATGGTTAAATGGATTTGTTATCATCTACCTAAGGCCTTTTAAAGAGTCTTAAGTGAATCCATCATCCAATCAGTTTGTTCCATCCATGTGACGTCTCCACTTCCATTTCTCAGATAAAGAAAAGAACACACAGATCAATGGCTGCTAATGGACTGTGGTGGTCATTTAACTGATTCCCATAAATGCTTCTATAATTGCACTCACAGTGAGAGACAGATAATTGATGTGAATGAGTCACAATAATGTGAAAAAGAAACTCGGTCCATTACGTCTCATTTTCATTGGTTATGTCGTCACCTCACTTTGACTCCTTTGCTCCATTCAAAAGTCTTGATTAGGCTTATGCCAGATGGGATTTAAGCATTGTCACAGTGAAATCCCACTTTTAGATCTGCTCCCAAGTAATTTTCTCATTCATTTTCTCCACTGAGGTTTCGTGAAATCCTTTATTTTAGTTTTAAGTCTGGAATCTGGCCGACCACCTACGAGATGAATCGAAACAATAAAACATAAAATAATGTTGGAAAATGGAAAAAAGGTAAAGGTACAAGACTGTGTACATAAGAGTGAAGAAACTACACATCCCATGAGCCATGGGAATGATCCTTTTCTCTAAAAAAAATCATGGGAAATCATAGATGCTCTGTGAAGTGTTATGCTGAACTATCCAAACATAGCCAACAGGATTTTTGCAGTTGCGATAAACCATTTCCATGGTTACAGCGAGCTCCACCAATCTGAAACGTTGCTATTACACCAGAGGATTGTGGGTATTGTAGTATTTCTCCTAAAAAATGTAGGCACTACAAATCAGTTTGTGAATTTCAAAGCAACATCAGGGACCTGAGAGCGTCAACAGTCAATCACTCTCTCTTTTTCCCCTGTTTCTCCTCAGTGATGGTCCAGTGATGGCGCAACCGGAGCTGTTTGTGACGAGAGCGCCCCCTGTGGAGGGGAGTGCCGTGGAGCTCAGTGTTCTGGGCTTCCTGGAATCATTTGGGGAAGAAAACAGCACGGCAGAGAGATGCTATCACGCCCACTCCCGCAGCAGCGTCCTCCAGGGCCTGCCATTTGGAGGCGTGCCCACAGTTCTTGCCATCAACGTGGTGCTCTGGATGGTACAGATAAACACACACGCACACACACACACACACACACACACACACACACACACACAATAATGTAGGGTTTCCACAATAACTCCATTAAAACCACTGTCAGTTAGGATATGAGTGGAAAGTTTCAAAAAGACATTATGTTCATATGCTGGTTCATAATTTTAGAGTTATACCTTGAGAATGTTTTCATTCTCTAATGAAAACACATCACAATCACTTTCCTCAGACTGTTCATTGCTGCAGTTCCTCTTTTCAGCCTCTGTCTGAAACACTTGGTTTTCACTCCTGTCTCTTTTAGGCCCTCCTCCTGATGAAGCGTAGTCTGCACTGATTGGCCAGCTGGCCCACTTTATAATTGGTCAACTGCTTCAAACGCGTGTAGGAAATGTTTGCCTAGACTAGCAGCTAGGCGTGCATTATGCAAATGTAGGGTATTGTGATGTCACAGCTCACCCTGCTCTTGATGATAATGAAATACAACAGCAACATCACGAGTGACAGTAACGTGTGACATGAATCCTGACATATTGGAAACATGTCAACACACACATGCGTTTGATTCCTCCCCATCTATTTAATTATGATGATTATCAAAGGCAAAATCTGTAAACGTGTAACTCTTTGACAAGTAAGTTATGTTTTCATTGGTATCTGTTCATTTGTAAGAGAAAGCCTTTGATCCAAAAAGTGCAGTTTGACCCATATTAAGGACTAAAGTTCAGGAAATTTGCTGCGTGGATTTTGTTCCATTAAAATCCACCAATATATGGAGTTGCATTAAACTGCTGTAAATGTCACAAAATTGATCTTAACAGCTTTAGTTTGTGGTGTTTTTTAAAAGAAAACATAACCTTTACTCTGAATCAGCTTTTAATGCATCATCTTCTCCTCATCTGTGTTTTTAGATCATTTAACAATGTGCATTATAAACAAAACATTCAAACACATTGTCCTGTGCATCTCATGGATAATATTAATTTGCCTTGACGTCCCCGTCACATTGTGTTACGCAGTGTGTGCACTGTTTACAAACATGGTTGTGTATCTCTCCTCCTTGTCTCCAGATAATAATAGGCTTCCGCTATCACTTGTCATCCACCTCAGTTCCGCCGCCAGGCCCCCGTCAGACTTGATCTCAGCACTGATGTCACTCTCAATCTGCCACCTCTGCGTTTTAATTGGCTCATTTCATCATTGCCTGGTTGTCAAGACAACGCAGAGGGTCGATCATTGTCTCCTAATGACGAGCAAGAGTCATAGCACGATTCAAACCCTCCCTTCAGGTGACAGGATCACGTCTCAGCATCAGTCCCATCATCGTACAGAACTAATCATGTGTGGGACTTGAGGAGAGCGTGTCCACGCATCAGGATGCAATCACATAAAATGGCAGGGAGGAGACGGACATGGCGAGAAACTGGGGAGATTCTTATTTAAAGAAGGAGTTTGGGCCCTGACTGCTAATGAGAACGCATGCTCGTTATTCATCCACAGGCCTCAGTCAAGGTCTCCCTGCTTGTTTATGCATGACTTTAGATCGCTGAAGAATGAATCGTTTAACATTTATGCGAGCCTCCTCCTTATTAACGTGGTTGTCATCCCCGCCCACTGCCTCCTGAACTCAAATACATGAATGATTTAATGTTGTCATTAAAATCAAACATTCATCTGCACTTTTACTCCGTTTGCATTTGTCGACATTCATCCATCATGTTCCATATTTAACCAGGGCTGCTAAGTATGGGTCCACTAATATAATACATGTTATTGTAATTCATTGTGAATTATGACAGAATCCAGGCTAGCTGGATATATTCTCACCACTGACTTCACTCATTGATCATTAGTGCGCAGCCTGTGTTTGTGAGTGCATGCTGACCTCTCTCTGGTAGTTTCCAAGACAACCATGTACTACTCTAAAGGAAGAATATGGCTCATTATTGCTGCAGCGATTTCAACCTGTCTATTATTTGTGTGGAGACGGGCCTCAGCTTTCAAATCAAACGATATGGAACGGACGTGGATGATGTTAGAGCTGAAGCAGCTGAGGACAGTGTGTGTGTGTGTGTGTGTGTGTGTGT